CCTCCCGCACCACAACAGTGATTTTCACACACTTGGTTATCTCTACATTTCCTTATCTCATTTTTCAAGCTGGGATTCTCACATAAGTATCTGGATTCCTCCTTAAATTGGATAGGAGCAGTTACTACTGAGGACAAGCTGTTTAGAGTTAATTTTGAGATTAGTGAATACTCTCTGTATCACTGAAGGAGAAATGAGTTAAGATTGTAAATCCGTTTTAATAGTTACGATGCTAAAGCCCCTGTCTTTATCTTATGTCTGGAATGCAACAGACAGGGGCTTTTAGTCAGTGAAGCAGGGCTTACTGTGTGATCAAACCAGCAGGAAGCTGACATTAGGTGCTGAGCAAGAAAGCTTTGGGAGTATGTGTGTACATAGATAGGAATATACATATATGAGTATGCCTGAATACCGGTGTCTGCAACCCACCTCCCTTGGGAATGACCCATCCCTGAAAAACCTGCTGTATTCACAGTGATGTGAATGCACCTTGGTGTCTTGATCTGACAATCTGAAAACCAGGGCACTGTAATTCTGTGTGTATAAAACAATTGAGCTAGAAAGCAGAACATGTGCAAACTGAGTTAGTGCTGAAGAAAGGAATGCTTCCAAATCTTTGACTTCTGTAAAATGGAGATGATACTGTTACTCTATAGGTATTATAAGACTTCAAAATACATGTAATTCTTTGTCTGGTGATATATGGAAGGAGAAATTTCAGAGCTGTTTGGGAACCTTCACCTTTCCTTAAGGTTAGGGTTTAGTACAGATAAGAAGTGCTCTTCAGTGTGATTTTATAACCTGGAAAAACCATCTGATTTTATTTCTTTTTGCCTTAGCAAGCAGTTCAAATCCTGGTGCAATTTCTCCAGAACGTGTAAACTGGAATTCACAAGGAAGCTGGAAGGAGCCAGCGGTAGGTATCTGCGTCAGAATAAATCCAAGCACACGAAGGATTTCTCCAGTGGGTACCGGTGCAGTGATGGAGTGCCGAGTGCTGCCCTGGATTGGCTGGATCTGCCGCCCGTCACGCTGCCAGGCAGAGCACAGGTGCTGGACCAGAGGAACAGATGTGCTGGGTCTGGTGGGACGGGCTCTTTTCTCCATGGAAAGAAACGCTGCCCTTAGGCTCCTGCTGCTTGTTTTGTACATGGGATTTGCAGTATCTGAGGATGAAATGAATGGCAGGTCAGTAACTGAGTGTGTATCAAACTGTTGGTGGAGTGGAAGACATGATTTAACTGTTGTAATTTGGTCATTTGTGCTGTGTGCAAGCGGATCTGATCTCAGTTTAGAATGTCAGGATGTGGTTTTAACTTTATTTTCAGGTTTGAAAATGCCTGGGGCTAATACAGAAATGAATTATTTTGAAGTGTACAGTACATTAGAAGTGTAACTTTAAAATAATTTTATAAAAAAGTGCTATAAAGGGTTTTAAAATTAGTGTTTTCTCGGCATCTGTCTTATATGTAATTTCATTTTAATGACTCTTACAATGACTTGCCCTGGATTGTGTAAAAAAGGAGTTATAAATAGAGTAACAGCAAGGGTGTGGAAACTACTCCAAGAAAGATAGGTGCTAAAATGTTATTCTTGTGTAAAATGAATATTTGAAGCATGAGTTCAATATTTCAAAGAAGTATTAAGCTGACAAAATTAGTAGAGATTTGGATTTATCATTGTTTATATGCTGTTTCATTCTGAAATGAAATATAAATAGGAAGCCCAAATCATTGCAGGGGAAAGAGGATTTTCTAGAGCCTAGCATTACAAAAGTGAAACAGCCTAAACTGTATTAGTTGAATCATGTCCCAAAGTCTCCAATTACACACAAATCAAATATTCTGATAAAGGTCACAGCTGGCAGTAAAATCTGTGCATTTAAGGCAAGAAGGATATGTGGTGATTTGCTTAAGCTTGTATTAAGAGATCTGGAAGTCAGTTACTGATGAATACTACAATATGTTTTCATTTAAATAGCTTACTTGCTGTTCTCATCTACTGGTTTTCAGATTTGTTAGTGTGTTCTTGGTATAATAGAACATTTTTGCAATCAGGTCAGAATCCGAGAGAGAGCAAGCAGTGGAGCCCTATATGAACTTTATTACAATAAATACTAAGAAATGAAGTTGCAATCCTAATGCCAGCGAATTAAATGGGGATTTTGCCTTTGCATTCAGTAGAAGTGGGATTGTGCCTGCACAGTGTTAATCTGCTAGAAGTTCTATGAGCTCAGTTTCTTTTTTTTTTTTATCTTAAAAATGAAGCTTGATTACCTTGTTCTGATCCAGTTCTTACTGGACATCCATTAAAGTGCAGATCAAACCCCAGTACTCAGCATATTGTAAAATAATTATATAAATCTGTCTCCCTGTGTCAAATCACACATGAGGCTACCAAAATATGATACAGAATACTGAAAATTTCAAAGCTATAAAAGTCATGGGCTTTGTAGATATTTCTTAATGAGAGAACTTAAAATTTAATAACATTAAATGTTGTTATTTAATAACATGAAATTATTAAAATTATTTAAATGTTAAATTTAATAACATTTTTTGTTAGGATGTTTCTTAGAAGAAACTAGCTTTTGCCCTGGATTTGGGCTCCCAGGCTTACACGTTTATAATTTTAATAACTGCATTGAAATTACTTATGACCAGTGTCCCTAAGGACTGCAACCAGTTCATTGCTACCAGGCACTCAGCAGGCATTCATCACCTTTCATCATAATTTTGGTTTTAGTGCCTTTGAAGGTTCACATGTCATTTTCCAATTACATGCTTCATCAATCAAGTGAAACTAGTTCAGCAGCCAGTGGAGTGGTCTGGACAATGCAAGTATTGAAGTGATAATTCTGAAGTAAGTGAAATACTGCAGTAGAGTATGCTCTGCCATCTGATGCAGTGTGTCAGGGCAGTGATATGAGGAGTAAAAGATACTGTGAATATGGCTTTGTTTAACCTGCTGGCATGAAAACTGTCTGTGGCCTCTGCACTTGATCACTGTTGAGTGCCAGCATTATTCATGCCACTCGTCTAAGTGGACTAAAGACTGCTCAAGTGCAAGTCTTCAAGGGCTGGAGCCCACATGAACTGTTTCAGACAAACAAGCCAGACTTGGTTGTGTTATGTAGATGGATAATGTCACCTAATAAGAGGGAATTTACACTTATTTATACTTATAATCTTATTTAATTGAGGTTTACATAGTGATTAGTCATCCAAGTGCTTTTTATTAGGGCTAATGCAATTTCATGGTGGGTTCCTGATATTCTAGGGAAGGTAAATTCAACATACAACATACATATCTGGATGTACTTGCACTGGTTATTTATGAATCGGTGTCCTGGGTTCAGCTGTCATTATTCTCCTTCTTAGCAGCTAGCGCTGTGCTGTATGCTGGCTTTAGCCTGGGAACAACATTGATAACACAACGATGTTTTCAGGTGTTGCTCACTAATGTTTACTCTGACCAAGGACTTTTCACTCTCGTGCTCTGCCAGTGGGGGGGAGCACAAGAAGCTGGGAGGAAGCAGAGACAGGACACCTGACCCAAACTGGCCAAAGGGGTATTCCATACCACAGCACATCATGCCCAGTATATAAACTGGGGGGAGTTACCTGGAAGGCCCAGATCGCTGCTGGGGTTGGGCTGGGTATCGGTGGGAGGGTGGTGAGCAACCCCTCTCCCCTTGTTATTTCCCTTCTCATTATTATTATTGGTGGTAGCAGTAGTGGTTTGTATTATACCTTAGTTACTGGAGTGCTCTTATCTCAACTCGTGGGAGTTACATTCTTTTTGTTCTCTTCCCCATCCCTCCAGGAGCGGGGCAGGAGAAGTGGGGGAACTGAGTGAGCGGCAGCATGGTTCTGAGTTACCGGCTGGGCTTAAATCATGACAATTGGTAAAGAAAAATGTTAGTCATCAAAACATATACCATGTGTGCAAATGAATTTGAAGTTTTAGAGTGGAGTGGCTGAAATAAATTGTAAATTTTGAAGTCTAGTCTCTAATTCAGTGTGCTAACAATGATTTGCTGTGACTGATTTGCAGGTCTAGTCACTGCTGATAGTTTTACAGGCAGTGGAGAAGGCTCTAGTGTGAGCTAGTTTCCTGTCTCATACATGTAATTAACATTTTTATACACAAAAGGGAATACATACTTTTAATGGCTTGTTATTTGCCTGTTTTTAATTTCTGTTCTATGAAACATGCTCCAGCTGAGGTCTTTGTTGCTAGAGATCACTTGTGAATTCCCCAGCTTGCCTTTTGACTGGAAAGGCTGCTGATTTTACAGCCGAATGGCTATTGAAGGCCACCAGTTCCTGTCACATTTCACACACTTCTGTGACACCTCAGGCTTATGGGTGTCAAAGGCAGCTGACAGACCCAATAACATCAACATCAGCTTGTGCTTGCTCAAAAACTAGGAGGCGATACTTCCCATATGTCACTGATAGACTGTGCCATAGTGATGTGGCTTTAGTGAGACAAAGCAAAGATTGCAAGCCTTGCCTCTGCTTTCTCCAGTAGGGCTTCATGAGTTGTGCAGGAGGAAACGAGGCAGCCAGCATTGCTAATAGACAGACTAGTGAACCTGAGTACCTAGGTGGAGTTACTTCACTTGCGTGCCTCTGCCAGCCTCCCAAGTGTGCCTGATGAGTGGTTGATCATCTTTGTCAGGCTGTGGGATCTGGTGGTTCCCAGATCACTGTCTCCACTATATTCCTCATTCACTAGCTGTTCACATTCATCTCTATCTGAGTATCTTCATGCTGAAAGCAGAAAATTTACGTTTCTTCTGGAGCAGCATGGCTGCACATTGCTGTGATTTCACATGGTATGTTGTTCTCGTTTCAGCAGTAACAGTCATTTTTCTCCTTCTTAGTAGCTGGTGCAGTGCCGTGTTTTTGACTTTCAGCCTGGGAACAACATTGATAACACACTGGTGTTTTTCGTTGTTACTCAGTAATATTTACTCTGACCAAGGACTTTCTCAGTCTCATGCTCTGCCAGGGAGGAGGGGAAGCCGGGAGGAAGCAGAGACAGGACACCTGACCCAAACTGGCCAAAGGGGTATTCCATACCACAGCACGTCATGCCCAGTATATAAACTGGGGGGAGTTACCTGGAAGGCCCAGATCGCTGCTCGGGTCGGGCTGGGTATCGGTCAGCAGGTGGTGAGCAGTTGTGTCCTCTCCCCTTATTGTTTCCCTTATTGTTATTATTATTGGTGGTAGCAGTAGTGGTTTGTATTATACCTTAGTTACTGGAGTGCTGTTATCTCAACTCGTGGGAGTTACATTCTTTCGATTCTCCTCCCTATCCCTCCAGGAGCGGGGGGAGGAAGAACAGAAGGGAGTGAGTGAGCGGCTGCGTAGTTCTGAGTTACTGCCTGGGCTTAAACCATGACAGAAGTGGAGGAGTCACACTGCATTGCCACGAGCCTCACACCTGCACCCGTGGGCTGTGTGGATGCCGGTTATAACCGTTCTGCCCAGGATGTAACCCCACAGGGGCATTCATAATGAGTTATGCCTCATATATTCATTGTATGCTCTCCTCAAGACTTGATGTTGCCTATCAGTTAGCATTTCTCAAGGTGATTTAATTGTCATGGCCATGGTATTGGCCTTATTCCACATGGGAAACTAAGTAATGATTTTAGTTTTGTTTTTTTAATCGACAACCAGGAAAACAAATATAACCCTTCCTCTTCCCAGAACAGCATAAAGTCTTCATGGCTTTAAACTTAAAGAGGGGAGACTGAGGTAAGGTCTTAGGCAGAAGTTCTTCCCTGTGAGGGTGGTGAGGCCCTGGCACAGGTTGCCCAGAGAAGCTGTGGCTGCCCCATCCCTGGCAGTGCTCAAGGCCAGGTTGGAGGGGGCTTGGAGCAACATGGTCTAGTGGAAGGGGTTTGGAACTGGATGAGCTTTAAGGTCCCGTCCAGCACAAACCAGTCTGGGATTTTATGAAGTCCAGTGGGGGAATGACATGAATTACACAATTTTACACCAGTCTCCTCTCGTTCCAATGTTTTAGTCTGCACACTGCAGCATGGTGATTTCCAGACTGGAGTGATGGGCTATAAGCTTTTAATTATATATATAGGGAGGAGCTAAAAGTATAACAAAGCATAATGTCATTCTTTCAGCCCAACCGGTAACTCAGAACCATGCAGCCTCTCACTCACTACCTCCCATCTTCCTTCTCCTGCTCCCGGAGGGCTGGGGAGGAGAATTGGAGGAATGTAACTCCCATGGGTTGAGATAAGAGCACTCCAGTAACTAAGGTATAATACAAACCACTACTGCTACCACCAATGATAATAACAATAAGGGAAATAACAAGGGGAGAGGACACAATTGCTCACCACCTGCTGACCGATACTCAGCCCAACCCAAGCAGTGATATGCACCTTGGGGGTAACTCCCCCCCCACCAAACTGTGGCCCTAAAGGTCTTGAAAATGTGTAGTATGGCTTTTGTTTTCTTGAACCCTTGTTGAAACCAATCAGTCTGAGTTGTGTGTCATTCATCAGCATAAACCAGAAATGTTCAGATCTGTATCCTTCTTGGAAGGTACCCTCTAAATATGACTAAAGTTAGTATAACTAAATAATTCACCTTTATTTCCTTGTGGCATGCCTCATACTTGTAGCTTTATAATGAAAAAATGCTCCAAAATAGCCTTTTCCAGCCTGAAGGCACATCCTATCATGAAGAATGACCAGAAAACAAAAATAAGACTGTGCAAATCACAAATCTTGTGTTCTTAATCATTCAGCAACCTAAAAGAGGGTTTTTTCCTGAGCAAAACCCCAAGGTTTGGTCCATTCTGACTGTGTCTTTTGTAACCTACCTGTCAAAATGTAGGTATTTTACCCATCTCTGAAGGCTGCTTGCTGTTAATGTGAGACCTTCAAGTGGTCTGGAGACCTCAGCCCACCACTAACCCTGGTTCCTAATGAGCAGTGGGAGAAAGTGGGACCCTCTCTGAAGGATCACAGACTTCTTGAAGTAATTGGGATTTAACAGTTGCAACTGAGGAGAAGGTTGGTCTTGCTCTCTGTAGATAAAACTGCCAGATTGCTTTTAAACAGTGTTACTGACATTGAACTTTTAAAGATCTTTTTATAGTTTTTTCAGCTCAGATCACAGTCACTGCTGCCGTGATGTAGAGCCTAGCTGTCTTTTTCTGCTGCGTTATGTTTTCTCTGCAGCCTGTCTGCTGCTTTATTGCCCTGACTGCTGAAGGGACTGAGCACCCTTCCCATGGTCTGGAGCAAAGCTGCTCAACAGACCTGTGTTTGGCAGCAAAGTGAGAAGCTGGAGTACAGACTCCGCTTCACTTTTGTCTGTTGTGCCTTCTGGGTCTGAGCAGTTTACAAGGGGACACAGGAGATCTATTTGTGGCTGCAGAGAGTATCTGCCTGCAAAAGGGCATTCTCACTGGGGAGACACTGACTGGAAGCAAGAAGCTGCTGCCCTCCTGAGCCTCTAGTGGAAACAAGAAATTGCATGTGAAATACAGGCTCTGCTGAGGCTGGAAACCTTGCTGTGGGTTTCAGGCAGGCCATGTTCAGTGTGATCAAACTGCAAGGGCATGGCAGCAAGCAGGGCAGGCTCTGAACCATCTCATGTTTCTCTTTTGGTAGTGTTATATTGTTCAGACTTGTATTTATCTGCCATTAAGGATGCCACAGTGGAAATTAGGATGGGATAAACTCCTGCAGTACATGCTAGTGGGTAACACAGATCCCCCTACCCAGGGGGTCCATTGAGGAGCAGGCTCACTCAGCTGTGCAAGGGCTTCCCAGCAAAGCCAAGGCTTCACTCTGGACTTCAAATACCTTATGTTACACTTTACACATGAATACTGAAAGCTGCTTTTATTAGTCTTTATATGCTGGTCTTTGTGTATAACTTTACAAGTATTTTGCTTCTGTGGTGGGTTTGAAAGGTGGTAAGAAACGAGGCAAAGAAAGAAGAGGGAGGTGTATTTCCGTGTGAAGCGGCTGTGAGGCAGGTCTAGCCCCACCATCGCTTTCAGCCTGGAAGGCTCTGTGTGGGGCAGGGTCTACAGCATCTCTGTGAGACAATCATCAACTGTGAGTGCTGGTATGTTCACCTGCTAGGCAACGCTGAGGGCAGACTTGAGAAGTGGACATGTGTCATCAGATCAGTAGATGGCCCACTGTAGGGGGTTGGAAGGTATTCCTGTGACTCAGGGAGTGGAGTACAGTCCTAATGAGACCCTCGTTTCTTGGACTTTGATCTTGTAGGTCTGTGAGTGATATATGTGAATCTGCTGGGCTTGATTTTCTAGTTCAGGAAAGCAGATCATACATCAGTTGCAGACTTATCCCTAAGTTATACCAAAGAATATCAAGGCTGAAAATTTCACGAGCCTGGTAATTGTCACTTGAGATGTGCTTCCCTTCTGCCCTACGTTGCAGCTTCATGGGATTTGGGATTGCTATAGACCATTCAGGAGCTGTTTTCAGATGGTTGTAAATCTGGGATAAAGGCATACTAACCCAGTGCATTTGCCCTATCCTGGAAGAATTCAGTGTGTTGCTTCTGATCCTCACTGCGAGCTGAGGATGGTGCAGCACTGTCCTTGTGTTCCCCTGCTTGTGGGCTGGACCTGATTCAGTCTTTAACCCAAAACTGATGTCCCATGAATAGGGTAGGGACAAGAGGACTAATGAAGCTTTTAGTCAATGTGGTAGGGATATGGGAATGCCTGGCAGGGCTGATCCACCTAAGGGTCTCTGAAAATGAGACATTTTTATCCTGAGTGCGTTAGCTTTTGGATTAATTTGTCCTGTTCCTCTGACATTTACCAGCCAAGGATCTGAGTTACGTTTTGAATGTTTTATTGAACAGGAGATTTCCCCAGTAAACTTGCTGCATACTTTAAATCCAGATGCTGTACAGTAATTTTTCTCCTCTTTTCTAGTTCACGAGTGTTTTCAGATCAAGATTCTCGACAAAGAAATGGTAAGGCTTTCAATGGGATAAATGCCTAAATACTGGTTCTGCTAGTGTGGCTGTAAAAGATCTTCATTCCCAGATGTTGCTTCTATTGGCATTAGTGACTCTCCTGTCAAATGTTTTGTTAAAGCCAATGCATTTTTAAAAAATACCCTTTAAAGGATTTGCCTGGCTAAAATAATAAGTTACTGACTGACTCTCAGATACAGTGAGAGGGAAGTGCAAGAAAGAAGTTGTTATTTTATTTGGTTGTTGTTTTGTTTTTTTTTTAACCAACTGAAAACAGTTATATGTTTGAAGGATGGAGCAGTGAGAGTGTCCATGAAATGAAGTGTCATCTATGAAACTCTACTTTCCTGTCTAGCAGTTGGGCCGTCAGGTTATTTGTCAGTATCTCTAGCCAGTGCAGGGAAAGAAATTCCCACCCATAATTAACACGCTTTGGCCATGCAGTTCAATACACACCCTTTGTCAATAGTTGTCTGTATGAAGAAAGAATAAGCTTTTGTAAAGTGTATTTGGGGTGAATAAATACATATATAGGCAGAATCCTGTCATTTCTGGGCACTGGAGTTCTTCCAAGTAAGGGTGGCAAGATGTTCAATTGAAAGAAGAGGAACTCTGTTGTACAAGTGAACTATAAGATGCATGTATTGAAGGCAATATTTACACCAAGCCAAATATTTTCCACAACAGAATCAGGTATTCTGAAATGCACTTTTTTGTGCATGGGTAATTATTATTTGCATAGGAACCTGCAAGATTGTGCGTTTACAAATGAATGGATATTTTCTTTGTAGTGTAATAACACACTTTCTTCTGCAGGTCAACGTTATGACGGTGGCGTGAAGCCAAAATTTAATGTAAATCAAGTAGCAATTACACAGGTAATGTTTGAAGGGCTGGATCTGTAGATTTTTTTCATAGCACATTTAGTTTAATTTACATTATTGGATTAAATAATATGTTGTTTACAAGAAATAGCCAACAAAACTGTCTCAGTCATTGTGATATGGTGCTGAATCACAACCTGCTGGACAAGACTTCTGCTTTTTGGAGAAGCTGGCTCAGACTTCAGTTGCTGTTGCTGGTGCAGAGTGGCAATGGGTTTGGGCACAGCATCTTATTGAAGGAACCAAATCCTGTCATCCATATTCTGTACAATGCCATTTGACTGCTGTGGCCAGTATTTTGCTTATATCACTTGGTACTGAAAGAACAGATGAAGCAAAACTGCAGATTGTTTAAATTTAGTGGGAGTTTTTCCTGAGTCCAGCTAGTAAATCTTGTCAGAAACAGAACAAAAGGCTTCCTTACCAAAAACCCTGTAAGTGATGCAATCTCATGTAAATAATCTGCTGATCAAATCTCTTTCATCTGTACTTCTGAGAAGGCAGCTTTATCATTTGTACAAATGATAGACATAGTCAATGTTTCATGTTTTCTGACAATGGATGACCTTAACTTGCTTTCAGCTTGTTGCTGTGAGTACTTACTAATTTAATCCTAAAGCAGTCTTATGCCATATGTAAAGGGTACTTTCAGGGTCTGAGTGGGGAGACATGATTCCCTAAACTGAACAGCAAAAAGAAATCTCTCTTTAGGCCAAGACAAAGCTTTGAGGCTTAACCATGTCCCTTCTGGAGCCTGGTAAGATGCTGTTTATGACTGGGACTCAGAATACGTCTCTTGTTTGTACATGATTTGAGCTTGCTTAATCATATGACATGCAAAACATCCATGCAGACATTGTATGTATCAGTTTCAGATAGGACATATGTGTAGATGGAAGAAAGCTGGTGTCTGGAAAGTTTAGTTTGAAATACGGAAATGGTTAAAGTTCTTTCTGAGCCCTAACTCACTCTCTCAAATTATATTGTCTGACAGCCAAATTTGCCTCCTTTGGCTATGAAATTTGTCTTAGAAGGGATAGTATTTTTTTAGTGTCTACAGGTAACATGGAAGCTGCAATTCCGAAGTTTTAATCTTGCAAATGACTTTTTTTAAAGGCAGGGATCCATACTTGAGCCATATTGTTCTGCAGCAGGCATTTTCCCAATTTTAGAACCATCAGGAGCTAAACTGTGTGCAGATAGGTGTAGGCTTGGATATTTTCTTCTATCTGGACAGCTGCCTAGTGTGCTTTCTTCATGCTAGGCTGTGTCTTTGGCCCAAGCTGAGTCTTTTTTAGTGTGTTGATATAATTTTTACAGGTGTTGTAGAGAGTCTTCTGCTGGGGTGAGCTCCTTTATGATTCTGGCTTTGCTTCAGCTTTTTATATTTGACAGCTCTACAGTGTGCTAGGTGAGATGGGAGCATGATAAGAATGTGTTTTATGCCAGTGATCTACCCTAATAAAGTAAATGTAACTTCTGTTGGCTCTCTTGCATTTGTGCTGGAACTGGAGGTCTGTAGAGAGGTATTCCCATGATGGGAAGGGGTTAGACAGAGATTTTTCTGCTTCCTCAGTTTTTTACTGCTGCAGCTGAGAACTGGCTCCACAAATGCCCTCCAAGTGCTGGCCTCATTTATTCTGGTAGGATGGAGAGTAAGTTCTGAAATATGCATCTTCTAATACTGATCTTTTCTGTGGTCAATTCAGGTTGTCAGCTACAACTTGAGCAGGAAAGGACAGTGGGAAGGAGCATCCACCCACAGCCACTACAGCCCTCTCAACATCACGATTAATGGAATCCCCTGCATTCTCTTCTGGGCCAAGAGGATCATGATTAAGTTTGAAAACCACACACAGGTGGATTTGACAGAGAAGACATTTGGTGTTCATGCAACAGTGGATGTTGGAGAGTCAAACTGCAGTGAAGACAATGCAATGTAAGGTGACATTGTACTCTGCCAAGGGAACTAGTACTACATAATAAGTCTAGCAAATACATACTGAAGGTAAACAGACGTTGTATTATGTGTTGTAGAGCCCCATGGGCAAGCTCCTTCCTATAATGCCCTGACATTGCAGGCAGCAGGGCAGCACGGGTTATATACTTTCAGACCAGTCTTTCTCGGGGCACAAAGAAACACATAGCTGCCTTCATCTCTTTCAGTCAGTTCTTCTCACAAGTCAGTTTTGCTCTTATTGCCTATGAGGCTGAAGCTGTTGATCTTTTTAGTCTCTAGCTGGTTTACGTAGGTGCTTGGGAGATGGAGTGGTGGATCCTATGCTGAATATGGGGGCTTAGGGGCTGGCTGCTCATGAGTACTTATCCCCTCACAGGATGTGTGCCAGCAATAATGTAAACCATTGGTACAAGGTACAGACGTGTATTTAGAAACAGGTGGCCCCGTGTCCCAGGAGTGCCAAGAGCTGCTGAAGCCAAAGAGTCAATTTACTGCAGGTTTGCATGTGACCTGAGGAGTCTTCAAACCCCTGAACTCTACAGCCTAGTCTGTCATGATTTTCTTCTGCATGAACAGCATTTAGCAGCTTTGCTCCTGTTCCTCCTGAGGGACAGTCATATATTAACGTAACTGGATTCAAAGGCCTCCAATCCCATGGCTATAATAGAAAGGCATGTTGTAGTTATTTTTATTTCCTTTTTCATGTACCTGGCCACTTCTCTCCCTCCACGTGGCTGGCTTAATGTCTAATACCAGCTCATTGGTTGCATTCTGGTAGCTAAGAGTCTAAAACTTAGGAGGTGGGTACCTTGCTGGGTGTGTGCTGAACATGAGGATCGAGTCTACTCCATAAACGTGTTTAAATATGTAATGACATATAACAATAAAAATAACTGACCAAACCCAGCAGTTTCCTTTAGGTCCTATACAACATTTCACCTCTACATCTAAACACATTTCTACAGAAAGTGTTTCCCTTTTCTGATTATACATCTGTGAAGGGTAACCCATTGCACAGGAATTTTAGTGGGTTTACAAGAAAACTAAAAATATAATTGAAAACCAAGCCAGGTTTTCTGCCAGTGGTATCATAGTATTCAATAAGGCAGCCTGAATTTTTGTCATCAGCATGTGAACTAAGCCAGTGCTATGTTTTGCAGGCAGAGGTAGAAAATAGAATAATACTATTTTGAAAATAAAAAGTAATAACAAACATTCCTTCTTCTCTTCTGGTCTTCCATTCAGAAATAATATTAGTCTTATTAGTAATGATTGTAACCTAATAGAAAATATATTCGTGCAAAAATAATGATTTCAAGACATGAAGTATAGTTTATAGTTATTCATAAGGCTTGAAAAATGAGAAAGACAGTTGCAGTGGACTGCAAATTCCCATTGGACACATTAGGAAATACTACTCCTACCGAATCATGCCCTTTGAATGTGCTCCATAATCCTAACTAAGAAAGGACTTTCTTATTTTGAGCTTTCACTAGGAACGATTTTCAGGACAGACTGACAGATTTCATGAACAGATCTGTTGTATCTCGGCTAGTTTCTGCATGTCAAGTCATTAGAAACTGTGTTTCAAGTACTGATCCGTTCATTGTCACTGACAGCATCCGAGTACTGGTTGAGGTCTCTAGATGTAGAAATCACACTCTGTGGATAGGAAAATGGATAATCTGGGGTCATGAATCAGGATTAGACTCAGCATAATTGCCAAATATGAGCCTTGGGCAAATTTTCAGCCATCTTGCATTTGACTATAGTAGAGAAAAAAGGGAAAAAGTGGCTTAAGTGTTGCTGTGAAATCTCAGGTTTAAGGACTGATGTAAATTACGCCAGTTGATGGCTGAATGCTGACATGTTGCTTTGCCCAGTGTTTCTTACACCAGAAAAGTTCTTTAAAATTCCCTCTTCTCCAGCCTTTGTTAAGACAGTACTCTGTTGTGGCTTTAGGCCAGCTTTCAAGCTGGTTTATACTGTCTAATCAATGCAGAATAGCCAGGAAAAATTACTGGACACTGAGTACTCAGGCATTTGTTATACTAATATAATAATAATCCAATCTGCAGGGGCTTTTTTATGCACCAGCTTCTGGATCAGGCCACTGAGTTGAATGCTGTATTTGCCTGTGTCTAAGCCTCAACTATGTATGGTTTCCCTTTGTAATAAAGCAAGGGGATAGTCTAGGTTCAGTGTCCTGGCTCATAGTCAAGGTACAAGAAGATGTCTAGATTTCCTATGAAATCTAGGGCTAGCTGGTTTTCTTAAAAATATTCTTCGGCTTTAAGTTTGGAAGTCTTTCAGATGCTGCATGTTTTCACTCTGTTTTGTCTGTAACTTAGTCTTAAAAGTTTATTATGTAGGTTTTAAGAGGCAAAATATTATTGTTAAGCAAAAAAAAAAACCCAAAACCAGTTAATCCTGCATTAATTTAGAGATGATAGAAGAATGGTAGAGTATGCATTAGTTTACAATTAACATGTGAGGGCCTTTCACTTTAGTAAACTTCAGGTGCCCACGCTCACCACAGATGAGTTTTGTAGACCTACCTCACAGTAAGTGTATTTATATTGCTCTAGTGATGCACATCTGTGAAATCTGAACTCAAATGTCATCTGCATTTTTTTTGTGCACTAGTATTTAAACAGATGAGAATAATATGGCTCTTTACACTTTCTAGTGATATGCAGAGGTGATGCGTGAGTTGAGATATATGCCATGGCTTGATAATGAGAACACAGATCAAATTAACTTAATTGTCAGCTGATGCTGGAAGCAGTGGGACTGAATTGTGTTGAAAGTTGAACATACAGTTCTGTTCTTTCTGGATAGTCTAGGCCTCATTCACTTTAACAGGTGAACTATTGGGGTTCACTGGAGAAAAATTTAATCCTTTCAGTTTTATCCCCACTGACTTCAAAGGTATACAGAGCAAAAGGCTCCATCTGTAACTATGCTTCATCTTTTGGCTGCTTTCAAGATCTCTGAAGTTTTTTATCTAGCCTGACGATACTTGCTTTTTGACCTAGGCTTTCTCTGAACTTTGGTGACATTGGCAATCTAAAGGGACTTGTTATTCGGTAAGTTGATATGATAAAGGAAATATTAGATAATTACATGTTAATGTACATTGTTATGCACTTGCTTGAGGAGTTTGTTTCAGGAGAACTTGTGTAAGCAAAAATAATGTGATAGAAACTGTTGAGGCTCCTGCATTGAACAAGTCTGTCATTTGCCCTGTTTCATTAAGGCATTTCTTCTTCTGTGTTGACTTTTCTATTCATAAGAATAGCTCAGGTCATCTCGTTTGAACAGAATCTTCCCATGTCTGAGATTTTTTGCTAAATCTTGCTAATTAGCTACATTTTTGTCTGGAAATCTTGCCACAAGAACCGATAGTGTGGGCCGCTCAAGCATCAGACTATGACCTGCTTTATGTTTGCTTCCTGGTGATAGAAGAAAACAGCATTTCTTGAAAGACAATTTTTCATATCTTGGATGGAAGTACAATACCAATGCTGCATATAGATTTTTCTCTATCTTTTAGGAAGAATCCCTCATATTTCTTCTCACTGTGAGGGAGAGCAGCAAACTCCTTCAGCTGCAACAAGGAAGAGCCTCAAATCACTTGCCACACTCAATAGAAGGAGCTAGAGCTTATAGTGATATATTTATACGTATACATATATGGAATATATGTATATATATGCATATATGTATATATGTGTATATATATGTATGTATATACACACTGTCTTATAAGGTTGTTCAACACGTGAATTTAATAGTGCAAGTCTTATCTATACTTGTTTTCTTACAAATTTTTCTTCCCATATGATATTTCAGATTCTTATTAACAACCAGCTATTACCAGCTGTCTGTTCAGAACTGGTTCAGCTTACACAGACTGCAACTTCTTTACAACCACTCCATACAAGCGACCTTTAATGCAACCAGAATATATGCACCAGCAAGGTACTCCTACCACTGTGAACATGTCAGCAGCTTGCAGAGATATGATGCACTTCTCATACCCAGCTCTGCAAATGATCTTTCAAACCTTTGGGAAGTCACTTTTATTGATTTCCAGGTAATGTAATGGAATTAAGCCAAGTGGATCCCATAGGTAGACTGGTGGGAAATTTTACACTTTGCTGACAAGAAAGGATGATGATTTTCCATGTACGGTTTACAGGATCTCCATGGAACTTGAAATAGAAATGAAGACTTCAATTATTATGCTTAACTGTCCTGTCAAAGGAAAGGAAGGGCTTTATAGATATTCTGTAGTCTCTTGCCTGAATTTCCCTTTACTGTGGGGAGTGAATTTAACTTTCTGTGTTCTGTCTCTCTGAACTGGGCTCTTAAACCCAGCATCAGTCACCAGATATGGGGCTCATTTCACTTAATCTTCGATGCCTACTGATTTTAACCTTGTGCCCTGATTATAGTCACCCCAGCCTGCTTCTAAACTCACTGGATAATTCCTCTGACTCATCTTAAGTCCTTATTTTAGGATGAGGTTAATCATCTTCTGAAAGAGCCTATTTTTCAGTGTTTGACTGTAAGGGAGCAGGGAGCCTAAGATGACTGGACTGGGATGCTTGCTTTTAGATACCTAAGTCATAGTGCATGAAGAGCTGGGAAGGGAATTGAGGGGGGAAGGTGATCCCCTTTCCTCACCATGTGATAAATGCCCATGGACTAATTTAGTGGAGTAGTCAATCAATTCCCTGCATGCCAAAGTGGTGAACTTCATGTTAGAACTAAAGCCACAAGTCAAACTTACTGGTATTAGCCATAAGTTGAATGCAGCTTTGTGTAGTTTAGCTGATTTGCTAACATATACCGTACAGTTGGATCTGGTGAGAAAAATCTAGTATTAGGATAGGCAATTGAGAATATTTCCTTGTTTGCCATATTCAGGTTTATGCCGTTTGAAACAGAGACTCTGGAGAGTCTCGACAAATGATGGTGGAAATGAACCCATTAACTTGAAAGGAACCACACTTAGAATTACATATTACAGGATTATCAAGAGTGATCATTGAAGATTTTGTTGAAAACACAAGTGCAAATCCTTTGGGCTGCAGAGTGATGGGGATTAAAATAGCTGGCAGTTTCTGGAAGACTGACCTGGATAAACTCTGAGTGTTAACGCCAGCTAGCACTGATGGGTACAATTTTGCAATATGCAGATATTAAATTAAAAATTTTTACTGCCATCAGGAGCAAATCCATGAATTTGTTTGTAACTGAGGTGCAATTATTTTATTTAACATGAGCCCTTTTGCTCTCTTTGTAGATTCAAGGTTTTAAAATTCAAGAAGGACATTTTGGCTATGCAAAAGACTGTGCATCCTTTTTCTCCCCAGCAATACTTATGGGATTGGTTATGTCGCTCATTCTGCTGCTGGTCCTTGCCTATGCTCTTCATATGTTGATCCACCTGAAGTCTCTTGACAGGCACTATGAATGCAAAGCTTCTCCTACCTATTTTCCACAGATGAAAGACAATGACATGGGAGATGAGAAAGAGCCACTGAGAAGCAGTGGAAATGAGTTCTATGAACTCAGAAACCAACAGCTCTGTAAAATCTACATTTAGCAGTACATATATATATCTGTCGCAGTGAAATGCGGTATTTTCTTCTGCTGGCATTCCTATATGTAGTTAGTTCATATGTTTCACCAACTGATAAATGAAGTAGGTAACAGACTGTTTAGCTGGTTACTGTCTGTTATTTATTGATAACCATCCGAAGATGCCTCAGGAAACAAGATGAGAGAAAAAAAAAATCCATTGTGAGTAAAAGATTTCAGGTAATGGGACTTTATCCCTCTAGTACAAAACCAAAATATGTATCTTTCAGACCAGCTTACCAAATCTTGAAGACAGAAGAATCTGTAATGGAGACTTTGAAATTAAATAAAGATACAAAAAAACACCCCCAATGCTCCCCACCCCTCCACCCCCAATTAAAAAAAAATCTCTTGTCTTATTCTTTCAGAAGGCAAGATTTTTTTCTGGATTTGTGTTTGCTTCATCCACCCTGCTCTGTGTCCTGACAGAGTAACACCCATTCTTTTCTCAGTATATGTTTTCCTTTTGTTTTCCAAATTACATCCTCTCCCTTTGTCCTCATAAACTCCTTTCCTTCATTTGGAGTCTTCAGAGCCATATAAATGGTGTATTATCCACTACACTGATGAAACAGTGATGGCTCCAGTGTAGCAGCATCTTGATACTTCTTGCTGTCTAAGCTGGAGGCTTACTGTAAGGATCTAGTGGGAGAGCAGTAGATATCTTGTCAAAGGCTTACCCTTAACTTCCTGGCTCAACTCTGCACTAAAGAGTGGATTATAAGCATTATATCCTGTAATTCTAGGTTAATTTGTTTTCTATCAAATCCCATCAGTCTCCTTTGGGAATTTTACCTGAGTGGAGATAGCCGGTGCTGTAACCAAAGACATATAAAAGTAAAGCAGTGGAAGCTCCCTAGCAGTGAAAATACAATTTTCACTTCTTTTTCTGAGAATTTAAGATACTGTCTTCCCACTCACCCTTTCTTCTGTTAGAGTCAAATTTTGGGAACTCCAAATTGGCCTGTAATTCGGCCCCAGTACCGTACAGTACAGTAATGTACTAACTGCAGTGCTTTTGGGTCACAAGTAGTACAAACCCATTGTTCTTGTCTATCAAGAGCAAGAATTTTTTAGATTTCAGATAATGGATCTAATTAGTTGTCTGTGATCTTTGTAAACTATTCTGCACTGGAGGTTTGTCTGCCTGTTGTAAACAAAACACTGGAGAACATCCCCAGTCAGCCCCTGCTTGTGTGCTGAAACAAGAGCTCTGGAAAAAAAATGTAAGCAGCTTTTAAGTATTTCATCAGGAGGTGGAGTCTAGTCTAAACTTTACAGTCCAGCACACTGAAGTAAAAAAGAATAGTGAAGAAATCTGAGCAGTTACATGTTTTGAGCCTATCTTGTGGCTGCAGTGCTCATACACTTTCATTGTGGCTTCTCATAGCCACCAGGATTTTATTTAAATAGTTTGTTTTCATTTGCCAGCCTTGTGTATTTCTACCGGATTATTGTCCATTGTTATTAAATGCCCCAGTTGCTTTTAAGCTGCCCAAAGGCACTCTAGGTAGGAATGTCAGTTTTATTCCGAAAAAACTGTATGGGGATCTGGGTTTACATACCTTTCCTTTTATGAGCTGGGCAGCTGGACCCTGTGCATTGAAGCAAGAACACCACTGTGGGTTGGGCATATGCACAGAAACATGGAAAGTTCCTGCTCCTTGCAAATGGGGTGAGACTCTGCCTGACATCCTACTACCATTTTCTAGGTCCCTTGTGTTACCAACCAGGAGACAGAGGAGAAACGAATTTAGGAAAGAAGCAAAAATGATTGTGAGTCTGAAGACCCCTTTGTTCCCTGCCCAGGCAAAACCTGCTGCCACCCCATTTCTGCCTTGCCTCATCAGTCCTAGACTTTTCCTCTGCCACAGCAACTGTTTGACTGCCCATGTTGGATCTGCCTTTAGGAAAAACCCAAACAAAGCATATACTGCTGTATAGTGACTTTATTTGACTGTGCATGACACTTCAGTCTGCTGAATTCAGTCAGATAGAGCAACCTGGTCTATTGGAAGGGTTCCCTGCCTGTGGCAGGAGGTTGGAACTGGATGAGCTGTAAGGTGCCTTCCAAACCAAACCAGTCTGTGATTCTATGATTCTCAGCTGCCATGTAATTAATTTTAGATGATGTATGTGTTGTTTTGCCTTACTTATTCTTACCACTTGTGTCCACATACTCATTTAAAATATAGGAATCTGACTGAAATCCCAGGAAAGTCAGTGGTGATCTCTCCAGAGATTTAGTAGGCTTTGGATTTGGCACAAGTGGGTCAGAACAGTGGCCTCTTACCCACCTCCATAAGCTTGTGGATAACAAGGGAGCTTGGGATTAGACAAAACCTGGGTTGACCCCAGCAGTCTGTGCCATGCCATGCTATACATCTGAGGAGAGTGCTGCCTGACCTCCCATGGGGGCATGGCCTGTGCCCTCCAGCAGGAAGAGGAGCTCTTGCTCTGTGTTTGCTGGGGAACTTAATTTTTCTCTCTGCCCATCTCACTCTCTCTGTAATTGTCTGGCTTGGTTTCTTGCAATATGACCTTCCCCCTGCTTCTGGCTGTCAGTCAAGAAGATTGGCATCTGCCTTGTGCAGAACTGCTCCCTTAATTAGCCCCAAGAGCATCCCGCCTGTGGTCTTTTTCTCTTTTCTGAGTCCTGGCCTGCAGATGGCTGGTGAGAGCCGTCCGTCTGTTGACTTTTGCCTTGCCCTTGTCATATGATTCCTACCTGACATTTTCCATAGCTGCTCACCAGTGACACTTGAGTAACCCAAAGCCCACATTTTGGTGGACCACTTTACAGTTCAATGAGGAATTTTCTCCTGTCTGCCTCCTGCTCTTTTCCCACTCCTTCTTTCCCTCCCAACCATTTTTGAACTCTGAGAAGTTTTATACTTAGCAAGCCCGAGTGCTGCTGCTGTCTGCCCTCCCATAGCATTGGGGTCTGCACTTCCCCTCTTCGTTCCTTGTGGTTGTCAGATGTGATTTCCCATGGTCCCTTACAGAGGTGATGCAAAGCAGAGGAGCAATCGCAAGCCTCAAGCATTCTTCCTCTTTCAGAAGAGGGTCAGGTCAAGGCTGGCTGTGATGAGCATTGCCAATCTGATGAAGGCAATCCATTTAATAAAGGGATGCAGATGTTTTGGGAGAAGGCAGCTCTTTGACAATCCCAACTTGATACAATTAAAGATGTGGAAAATCTTTTTCATCCTCATGAAAACCTTGTGGCAGATAACTGCATCTCAGTGGAGCAGAGATTAAAAGAGGCAGTTGTATGAGAGAAAAGGTCCAGAGTACAGCAATGGAAACTACCCAGTGCCTAGGGAGGAGAAAACACATGTGGGGAACTTTAAAAAGACCAGAACTATTTGGTACGGAAAAGCGAACAGGAGGAATAAATCTGATAGTGTGACGTATTTTATTGGAGGATATAAAGACAGCCAAACAAGGGATATTTTCTTAAATAAACCCCTTGATCTAAAGACATAGGGTCACTTTGCAGTGTATAGGGGCAACATCTTGCAGACAAGTCAGCTGAATTTCTTTGTGTCATGCATATGTGTGGTTCATAACAACACAAGGGAATCCAGGAGTATAAAGGAATACAACTGCTCTGCCAGGCCTTGCGTGCAGAAAGTGAGATTCACATAGCTGGCTCTGGTTTTGTGTGTTCTTACAGATGGTTCTATGCTGAGCACATGTGCATCATGGGGCTACGGTCCTGTCCTCCCTTTCCCCAGATGTAAGCTGGCTATGTCTGGCACATGGGATAATGGAGCAGGAGAGGGGCTCTGCTGCTCTGCAGATGGAAATGCACCATCTGGAACAGCCCTGTTGCTCCTCTGCCTACACCTGCATCTCCTCTGTTGTGCAGTGTTCTTCTCTCGATGTAGAAGAGTATATGCTTGAGAAGCTGGAGCATATCATCCACCATCATAGGTTGGAGGAGAAAGGACAACGGTCCTACCTGTTGATACTCCCTAGCATCATATGTGTGTGTATATGTTTGTGTGTGTATAAATCTATTATAAATCTTTTAGACACAGCATAGTTGTGTCTAAAGCATTATGTGGGGAGATGTGGGACCTCCCATGAATTGTAGGCTGCAGCTGAGTTTAAAAGCAGCAATGCCAAACAGAGAAATGTAATGGCTGAAAGAAGCCGCTTGACTTTCCTAGGCTGTATACAAGTGTGGGGTATTGCTCTGTAGAAGACAGATGCTATTATTTGAAGAAGTGTGATCAGAAACACCTAGAGACTGATACAGTTTGCTTAAATGTAAGAACTTTCTTTCCTGGGTCAGTGTCTGAGCAGATCTTTACTTCATTCCTAATGTTATCAGTGTGACTGACTACAGCTGCAAGAGGTTAACTCTCCGTACATGTTTTGGTAACTTTCTCCACTGTACTGAGCCAATGCATGTGCCTTGCAGTGAAAGCTGTGCACATCACTTTGTCACTCGTGCATGTGAGAGTATCACACTCATGCATAAGGAAGTGTCGTGGGAGAGGGGCAGGGGTTGATGACACACCATTTTATTTCCTTCCATCTGCCATTGCAGCTCCCATTCTGCTTAACAAAAATCTGAATGAGGATCTGTGTCAGAATCCATGAGGCTTGCCAGTGCTTCACCAAGGATCCCCATGGTGAAGGCCCTCCCTGGCAGATGGCAGCTGCCCAAATAATGATCCATACAGGCAGATGTCTGGGAAATAAATAGCCACAAAGACTTTGAAGCTTGGTTTGAAACTGTCCAAAATGTCAGTGGAAGGACTGGGCTGTCCAAACCAACTGCAGTTACCAATCTCCTGTTTGCTTTCTTTGCATTTTAACAGATCATTCAGGTAACTCTGGTTACATTAACTTTTACTGGCAGCCTGGAAACGTGGGAGTACTCAAGTCAAAGTCAAATGCTCAATGCTGGAGTGTCTGCTGCAGCTCTGCAGGCTGTGTTTCCTAGAATCC